GTGGGGGGGGGGGGGGGTCGGTGCGGAAAAATCTAATTATTGAGGTCGATAAAGTATCTGGTTGGCTTATTTTCATTGTTTATGACGAATATTAAGTTACTGAAATCGGCGTGGAGAATATATCATCTGCACTCTGGGGAAAAGGGCCCATTCTTCGTGACTTTCTTGAGAGACACTGACTTTACTACGAAATTGAAACTAATAGGCTCTTTCCATTGAAAAACCAAGTTACTTACGTGTATTGCATTGTTGCGTAATATGGCGTTGCTTCCACCTCCAGTCGGCAAATTAAGACGGGACAGATTTGACACAGGCAGAGCAAATGGATTCATTTTTTTCATGGTAATATTCACATGCTCTGCCATCATAGTTGGTAAGTTGTTGCTGTTGCTGATATTGTAATATTGTGCGTTTTGCCTCTTTTTGATTCCAATTGGGTTCTCTGATGTCTACAACTAAGCTCGTTTTCAGTTCAAACAATATTTTCAACTTCATTTCTGAATAAAAATATGCTCCATAGTTTTAATAGGTGGTCATAAGTGCTAAAGGGGCCCCGAGTTGACCATAATGTGCAACCATACGTCGCATCATGCATGATTCGACAGAAGCCATAAAAAATTGCCGACGTATTTTTGGCAAAATGAATTACGCGACGTATGGGTGCACATTTTTTTTATTATAGGGTCAATGAAACTAGACAGTTTTGATCATTTTATAAGGGCGTAAGAAGTGGTATGTCACAATAGATACTTGCAATGTTTTATTTTGTCAGTTTTGAGATTTCTACCTTGAAATTGTACTCATTACCGTTTTTTTGACGCACGGTTTTTAGAACAATTCTTCGCTCCTCCGAGTGGAAATCAATCACCATTCGCTCCTCCGATCACTATAAACATCCGAAGACTGAAAACGAGCCTTGAAGTAGTGTACTTTTTTCGGGACCGGCTAACAGATTCAGAAAATGATGAGAAATGAGTGGTCGACTGTACAACGACTGGCGACTTAAACAATCAACAGACGCTCTGTACTATGTCACTGCTGACTTTTGCTATGGCTCAGAAATCAATTGACAATTTCCCGCGTGTGGTTCTAATAAATAAATTACTGAAATTCAGTTCATTGTCAAAAAATCTTGCTATATATTTTTTCAAAACTGAATTTTTCAAATCTTTCTCACCCTCTCCCCCACTCCACAATTTTTACTTAAACAATTTATTTTTCTTAAAAACTTTGCTGCGTCAGCTTTATGCGTAACGAGTGGTTTTACAACAATAAATAAGATCTGTGTGTTTGTAATAGAATAATTAGTACGCATGCTAAAGCTTCTAGAGAAAAAAGTTCGAATCATCGTTTTTACTGGGAAAAGACAACCCCCCACCCACCTCACACGACCATCAATTTTATGGTGTAACGAGTAGTTTTACAAGGTTAATTATGCAAACCGAATATGTTTGGCACCGCTTAATTAGTCCGCATGTCAAAAAATTGATGTCAATTTTCAGAACGATCGGACAATGTGAACAGAAACTCTACTAGTGAAAAATTGTAGGTAGGTTGGGGGGGGGGGGGAGAGGAGAGGGAGGGAGGGAGGGAGGGAGGGAGGGAGGGAGGGAGGAAAAAGAGCCAAAAAACATTTTTCGCGCGGTCAAATTTGTTTGCGAATCGTGTGTTGAAACTTTAGACAGTTTTGGCCCTCAAGAAATTTTCAGCGAAGTCTATTAGCTTGTCCGTTGCTGCGTGTTATTCTTTTTTTATGAATGTGATGTCATTTGTGGGAGCAAGAATATTGCAATCGGCTGTAAGTTCTTTTATGTAATTTCGGCTTAGGTACCACTTTTTTTCTAATGCTAGGTTTAGGTAGGAAATTGTCCTATTCGATATGATTTTTCCAACATGAATTTAATTCAGGACGAATCATGGTATGAAAGTTTCAATGGTTGTAGTTTTGTTGAATAGCTCGCCATGCTATGCTTCCGACTTATCGCAAGTGGTGCGAAGCTTCTCATCTATGTATAGTTTTGTCTTTTATTTTGGCTGTTCAAAATAACCAATTCTGTTTTTGTTAGACTGCTTCGTTGCGCTAAATAGTTGTGTATATCATGTATCCCATTATTACTTTTTTGTTCCGACTTTCGTAACGAAAGTAACGGAATATTTGTGCTCGGGTTGGGTTTTTTTCAGATAAATTTCGACTTTTAAACTAGCCATTTTTGACGAAAGTTTTTTTATTTCATTCGAAAGCTATTGTTGTCCTGAGCTTAATTTTGAAAAGATATTTCACCTGTGATCTTTTTTCGTAAAGTTATGGGGGTTTAAAGATTGCCAATTTGGTAAAATTAACGCGCGATATATTTCGCGCTATTAAGGCGTAAGCGAGATTTAATCCGTCTTAGAAATCTATCCAAATTGGTTCAAGGAAGGTGATATGCCATTATTGATTTGTTAATAGAAATAAAATCTATCACTTTTTACTTAATATGACGTGTGGGGGATGTTTTCTTGTTATTACTGCTCCATAGACCTTAAAAGGTAGTCGGAACATTCAGATTTCGCCCCGATACGAGCAGTCTTGTTATTATTTCAAAAAAGGGGTGCACAGAGACATAGAAGACTACTCGTTTGTCGGGGCAAAGCCCTGAATGTTCCGACTGCCCCATAATTGATCTCGAATAGTTTTTGATATATAGTTTTTGATAGAAGAAAATATTGGAAAACAATTACTTTTGGATAATATCAAAAATCAGCTATCAAAGTTTGAGTCGTACGCTGTTAATACTACCGAGTAGCTAGCCTCAATTCAATTTGGAGCAATATTGTGCGGGATAATTCGACGTGTATAAATATTTCGCCTTACGCTTTCAAGATACTTCCATTAGCACGACGTCGAAATTTTTCTGATCATTTTTGAGTTTACTATCAGGCTGTTACGTGGGCCGAGCTAAGATTTCCAGTCTTAAAAGTTTGTTTCTTTTACCGTAAAATATAGGTTTCTACAGCAAACATTTGGTTTAAATTTTCAATTTTTTAATTTTAAATCACAAGAGTTTCACTCAAAGTTCTTGTGATATTCTTTTTTTGTTCACTAGTTACCCTTGCGATAAGCAAAGGTATTGCAATAGGGTACTAGACTTTTTTCCTGTAATCAACTTTGTCCAACGGATCTTCACTTCTAGAGGATCTTTCATCTGACATGTTCAGTTTTTTGAAATTTCAAATAAAAGTTCTATCCCTTAGCTAGTAATTATTTCAAGCCCGCTGCAGGTTATTATCTTTCCGAATTTTTTTTTTGGGTTCCTGGTTTTCGTCCTAGTTTCTGTCGGTTTATTTTTCATTTTTTAAACGCCATGTTTTTATCTGGGAGGCTTTTTAGTGGTTTATTTTTTGACGCTTAGGCTTTGTTCCAATTCAAAGTTTGGATGGGTCGTAAAGTTTTTAGTTTGGATGGGTCGTAAAAACTTAAAAATTTAATAAAAATTTCATTTTCGGGTCAGCAGGTTTCGACCCAAAGTTTGTCGCATTTAATGCCGGTCGGCAAGTGCGGATCTAGGATTTTCTCGAAGAGAGGGGCGGATTTTTCAAAAAAATTTCGAAAATTTTGTCGATATTTTTTTACCATGTTCGGTAAAACCATGTTAGCACTACAAAGACTCTTTTTAGGCAAAATTTCTGCGCCGCAGAAAAGTTTTTGAAAAACAGGCGTTTTTAGGCACTCCCCCCACCCCCCTCAAAATTAGTGTGTTTTGGCGCCTTTAGAAAACTTTTAGGGTACGTCACCAAGAATGGATATTTCAGAATAGTACAAAGGGTGGACCATTTGGGTCGGCAGGGGGTCGAATCCCTGAGAGAAGGCATCCGCCCCCCCCACCCTAAATCCGTCCCTGTCGGTCGGTAAAGGTTTTCCATTTTTTTAAGGGCTGTTAATGAAATTCATCTGATACAAATATGAAATTTTTGTAGCTGTAATTTTTCAACTTTGTTAAGTTATTTTTTCAAGTAATTTTGCATTCACTATTTTGTAGCGCAATATGCTTTTCGAATCGCAGGTGATGCGAAGCTCAGCTTCGCCTCTGTTGATTTTTTTTGATGCATTCTGTTAATGGTGCAGGCTATTGAGGTCCACGAAATTTCCTCAAATGTTAATATTTGCCATAATCAGATCGGTAGAAACCATGGTTTTATCTGATTGCTAAAATTAGAAAAAAGTTCAGTTTTTACCAAATGATTCCTCCGCCTGAGCCGTGTTTATGGAATGAGCTGGAATCATAGTTGTGTCAGAGAGTGGCTGGATCTTGCCTCATCTTGAAATAATTCTAAATTTTTGAAAAATATGAAGTATGTCGCAGCTTTTTACAGTCAACAGTCAATATTTTTACGCAAAGTGTGTTTGTCTTCCTTTTTAGTCTTAATAACAGGGCCCCCAAACTCCCCCCCCCCCCCTCGAGAAAATCCTAGATCCGCCCCTGCTTAATAATAATAATAATTCACTAAAATTTACATTTATTCCATTCACCGTAAAACCGTAAAATTTACTACATTTACAAGCAAATGAAATCTCATTGAGAACTGTTAGCTAATGTCAAACTATTGCAAAGGGTTGCTTCGCCTCTGCGTTTAAATTTATGATATCGGAGTTTTGCTGCGTCAAAGTTTTGCTACGTCAATGCAATGCGAAAAAGGCTTGATGCTTTGTTCATCTGTGATGTTTATCGGGACCCAAAAATGTGTGAAGAAAGAGCTGCATTCTTGTATCTGAAACTCATTAACTAATTAGAAATAGAACTTAACTAAATTTGGAGTCCTCTATGGATTGGATACTTCATTTATTTAAATGTTCAAGATGAGCATTTTGAGAGAAAATGAACAATTCTTCTTAATTCATTAGAAATAGAACTTAACTGAATTTGGAGTCCTCTATGGATAGGATACTAATTTTGCTAACTCATTTCGATCAACCGCGAAATAAGATTTTAATTATTTAAGCTTCAAAAAATTGACTTTAGGTGCCGTGTGTGCGTAGTCTCGGTACACAGTTCGGCTACATCTACAGTCTGGATCTGAGCTCGGAGTTGCTGGTGGCCGGCTGCCAGAACGGCAAAGTCCTCATCTATGACCCCTCTACGTTCGAGTCCAAGGCAACTCTCGAAGGTCATGTGTCTACTGTGCACTCTGTCGGAATTCTACAGGTGACACATTACTACTCAATTTGATTGAAACGGAAATGTTACAGTGATTTTATATATTAACTTGTAGCCTGTATACTTTGACCTCCATGTTATTTAAATATACTTTTTTGATGAAAAAGAAGTGTAATGGGTTGGTTGCAGTGCAAGCAAGTAACACAAAATTTTTAGAAAATTAGTTGCTCCGCGGGTTCAGAGTCGCGAATAAGCTGAAAAATGATAATTGAGGTCATTATTCTGATCTTTCTGATCTATACAATTTACTTTGCGTACAGAAAAGAAAGCAGAAATTATATTTATGCATCATGCAAATCAAGATATGGCTAATAGTTCATGACCCTATTGAGAATTTTGTTAGTTCAAACAACAACCTTTTAGAAGAGACATTTAGCATTGTGGTAAGGCGTTCACTTTGAAATCGTCAGATCGTGTATTCGATCCCATGCCATGGCAATGATAGTGTGTGAGCTCTCACTTGACCTCTAGCTTCAGGTCTACCGCAGCCTGGCCAATTTCGGCTGCAATAGTGGTACCACGTGAAAGTTCTAGACGTACCACGTGAAAGTTCTTCCTCTCACTTTCACTCGTGTTTTAACTTTTTATTTTCATGGAATGTTTTTGTGGCCATATTCTTCAGATGTGCTGACTGTTTTATCTGCGATTGGGGCAACAGAAGCTTTACACGGTCTCTTCGCGCATCGCCAGTTGGATTTATAATTATATTGTTGTGGCGATTTAGATAGAAAGTTTCTCCATCGTGGACAAATTACTATTTTCCTCGCTCACTCATGACAAAATTTAAAAGCATAATGGTATCAGTAAGTGTAATGATTTGCTAAGTAAAATTGAAACAAAGGTGTTTTAGAAAATACTAGCATCAATTGCTATCTTTACGGTTAATTCATTTCATTTTAATTCAAAACTGGTGCTAAATTGAAAATTTTGTTGATTGCTTGCTGGAGGTTAATACCCCCACACAACCACCGCAAAACGTTTTGCTCAATTCGGATAGTTTTTAATCACCCCATATAGCAATTACTCGTGCTGATTGTCGCTTGGTACAAATTGATGCTAAAGCGAATTGTCGCCTTACGATTTACAATTAAACTACTTTGTGTATTCAAAAAATATTTTTAAAGTTATGAACGTAGTCAATACTCTTATATTGATCTCGTTTTTAATCCCCCCCCCCAGTTAGCAAAATTAGTCGTGCTGCTAATTTTCGCTGGCTACGAATTGATGCTTGGTGCGAATTGTCGCTTTTTAAAATAGCTGCGAATCGTCGCTTGCGACGATTTGTTGTCTTACGGCTTACAATTAAACTACCTTTTTTATTCAAAAATTTTTTTTAAGTGTTATGAACGTAGTCAATACTCTTATATTGGTCTTGGTGATTTTTTTAAGGAAATTTGTTCATGAAAAAGTTTGAATTTTAGCGGTTTGACTTTAATTTCTTTATAAGTTTACTTCATTTCCTTTGTTGAAAGGAAGGCAAACTCCACTATTGAACAGAAAATACGTTAAGGTCACAAAAAATCTGATCGAGTTCTAATTCGAAAGTCGGTTTTAGTTGTCAGATTTTCCAGCGGAAGAAAAAAATTGCGTATTGATCCAGCGTTCTCAATTTGTTGAAATTCGAAGAGTTGTAAGGGAATAAAGATTTGTTTGAAATTCTAAAGATGTTTTTTTCTGAAAAAAACAATTGAGTATTTTCGCAAGATATTTTTTTTTTCAAAAAAAAGCAAGTGAGTATTTTCGAAAGATATTTTTTTTTTCAAAAAAAAAACAAGTGAGTTTTTTTTCTGTTTCCTTGCTGTTATGATTCTTTTCCAACTGTCTGATGGCTGCATTATGAACTAGACAATTGTTGAAATTTTCATTTCGTGTCTCGATAACGTTTTCTTTCGATGAAGGTGGGAACTAAGCAAATGAAATTCTAATAGAGTAAATTGTCTTTAGGTGCCTGGAAATACTCGAGTGTTCAGTGCCTCCCAAGACAGAAGTATCCGGGTGTGGTCTCTGGAAAGAGCCATCTGCATCCAGAACCTCATAAGACACGTGGGTGCTGTCACCTGCATCACAGTATCCAGGGGCCTCATTTTCTCAGGCAGCTGCGATGCCTCAGTCAAGGTGTGGCAGTAAACCATCAGCTGCATCACCGAAAACATCTTCAAACTAGACATCCCACAAACAAATACCATCAGCCTCATTGAGTTTCTGTGGGGCTTTGGAGTTTTCCACCTCCCCCGTGGCACATTTGATGGTTTACGACAAATACAAATGCAGACTCTTCATAATCGTTGTGCTGTTGTTAGTAGCTGTTTATGAATACTGAAGCCGATTACCAGCTGCTGTTTTGTGACCCTCGTTTCAAGATTTGAAATCAGACAAAGACATTCCTGTTTTTCGTAACTTTTCTAACTATATTTTCAAATTTTGCTCAACTATGATACATTTCTACGATCATTGCTACGCGCGCATGAATGCTTCCGAGGCAAACATGAAGTGTGAAACTGAAAAGTTTCTCAGTTTAGTAAAAATAATCAGTGAAGTTATCATGTTTACCTAAGTATGGTCGGTCAACTTGTTGTTCAAGTTGTTCGTTAAGCGCATTCATATTAGCAGCTAACATTTTCAAGGCTAATCAAAACTTACACTGAATGTTTTCATCAAAAAATAGAAGCTTGTAAAAATAGAGGTCAAGTTTTGAGCCAGTGAATTTTTAGCGATTACAGTTTTAGCGATTACAAATTTTAATTGCTTCTTTTGCCCAATGATTTTGCCCGAATTTTTAAAATTATATTTGCTGTATATTTTCTTAATATTGTGGCCATATTTTCATAACATTTTAGGGTTATTTGATCATATTTTTCTGCATAGATTTATAAATTTTACTAGAATTCAAATTCCTAATAAAAACTGTTTTGAGCTTTCTAAACTTGGCTTACTAACTTGGTTATTTGACCCAAGTTATGTTTTGATATCGAACGCAAAAAATTGCCCATCTAAAAAAAGATATCCAAGTAGAATCAACGGTAATAAATTGAAAACAGTAAGGATTTACACACCTCTAGGCTAAATTCAACCTCTTTAGTAATAAGTATTTGCAGATTTTTTCGCTGAAATGATTGAGTTTTCACTTAATGACACTTAGTTGAAAACCACGGCAATTAAGGATGTATTTTTATGAAATTTGTCCAGAAAAATTTCTTAATCTCCGAATTAGTGTAGAAAAAGGATCATGTAACGATTAATGAAACGAAATAACACTATGATGCGGAGCACATGATCTCCGAATTTGGGGATACTTGAAGCAGAAGTGAACAATCTTGAAAGACCAGTGGCTTTAGTTTCAACGGCAATATAAAATAGTTAGTTGAACATAGGATTTTTGAAATATGTATTCTTTATAGTGTGAACTTTTTTTCCAACCTAAGTCGTAAATATTGTTGCGACGGATATTTTGTTGCGATAAAATGTGTTCATTTTGATCAATAAACAGCTATTAAGTACAGCCAATGCTAAGGATATTAAGACAGACTATTATGTTACAAGTAGCACTTGAGCTTCTAGGTATCATGGATCTGTAGCGTAGAGGTAGGGAAGGGGACCCGCAACAAAATAAGAGGGTTCGAACCTGGTCTTAAATTTCTTTTTTTTAAATTGACTCGTACTGCTCATGCGTCGTAATTTGCTTGCACTTTGGCTTGTGACTTAGCAATTATGTAGCCTTGTGACATAATTGGCGTGCGTTCACTTAAGAAACAGGACAAGTACCCGCACGAAAGTATACCATTACAAAATATCCCGAGCCAATATATCCCATTGGACGCAATAGCCCATGCCAATATAGCCCACGTCAATTAAAATATCCCATAGCGGATTAAAAATTAATTTATGATATAGATTGGTTTCATGACAAATTATCCCTTTCCTTTTTATCCCAGGCGAAGTTATCCCAGTCAAAAATAACTCAGAAGTAAAAATAGCCCAGGACAAAGTAGCCCACGCAAATTAAAATGTCCCATCTGATTAATCGAATTAATTAAAATATCACAATAGAATAATAAAAGGAATTAAAACCCAAGATGCCGAAATTGAACAAACTGATCAAAGCAATGCTAACATTTGAAAAAGCGCGTGAAATCAAATTCAGTTCAAAGCGTGAAAGTTTCAACGCACGTTTTAAATCTACCAATCTTTTGAACTATCAAAGCATAAAGATCTGACTTTCTAAGCTCACTTGGCAATATAGTTAAAGACTATCACGGTGGATCAAAAGTATCAGGACGAAATCGATAAAAATTGTTCCCTAAACCCCCCTGTACTGGGTAACCTTTTTAGTGAACTCGTGTCTGTCCAAGATAAGCAGCGCTTCGCCTTGTTGAGTTTTACCGTGGATAAATTGTGTCATATTGGTGTTCATTGTATTGGTGCTATGTGTGTAATGATGTCTTTGCGTTGTGTTTCATTATCAAAATTTTCTCAATTTTGACTCCATTAACAGGTTGAAAAACAAAATTTAATCCCTAGAAAAGAGTCTTTTACCATTACCACTATCTCTATATGGCGTCTCGAAATAATTGAGGCAGTTGAATTAAGTCTCTTTTTAATTGCGATATAGATATATGCACCAATTTTAGGTAATTTATATCATAAGTTAAATTTTAATCCTCTATGGGATATTTCAATTGACGTAGGCTATATTGGCATGGTTATTGTGCCTATTGTGAAATATTGGTATGGGATATTTTGTAAAAGAATACTTTCGTATGGGATATTTTGTCCTGTCACCTATTTATCATGAGTATCTAAATTCTATCAGTAGATGTTTGTGAAACAACTTCGCAAATCAGACCTTTTCTTTTAAAAAAATAGCTACGCTTATGCATCTCATATTTAATCTAGTGAACGTGCATGTAGATATTTTACACATAGGCGAAGTTGCACTTCGCATACACAAACAAAAATATGACCGATAACGCTACTGGGAAAAACTGAGTAAAACTTTGAGTCTACAAAATTTCTTAAGTGACGCACGCCAATAATGAGCCTACATAATTGCTTAGTGACACTAGTCAGTTATGTCACAAGTCACTAGAACAATCGTGGGATGCTAAAGAGTAGCAATTTTTTCAAGAATAGGTCTGAATTGCGAAGTTGTATCACAAACATCTGATAGAATTTATATACTCATGATGAATAACTAAAGCTGAAATTTTAGTGTTATATAAAGCGTCACTACATTCATTTGATACGTCCTTGGAAACGTTGTTTCATTAAATACTGGATCTCGAAACAAGCTGGAAATCTTTGGTGCGAGGTTTTTTTGTCGATAATTAAATAAAAATACCCCGTACAGAAACCTCAGGATATATCCCGCGACATCGCTGCAACCTTCCAGACAAAGTATGCTCAGCTAGAGCGATCGACTTTTTCCTCGCCAATTTGGATGACGATTTTATCAAAGATCAGTCCAATATTAATCGCAACATGCTATTGAAACACTGTTTGAGATGCAGCAAAATAAAGTTGCCTGGTTTGGCAGATGAACTGATCATGAACATTTAAACCAGTGTTTACTTGGAAACTCATTAACTCATTGAAGACATGACATTGCATCAAAGTTTTGTCGATATGCCCCCTAAAATACCCAATTCCTACGCAACAAAATCAAATACTTTACCAACTTCTTACCGAAGCTTGGACCCAAATCCTCAAAATTGTTGAAGATTTAGGAACGAACTGAACAGTGAAAGTCTCTAGAAGCATAAACTATTCCTTTCTTTCTTCGGATTTCCTCTGATTCTGCCTATGTATATCAAAAATCTTGTTTTTTAGAATGAAAAGTAAGTTTGCACAACGTAAACAGTTTTACTTAATGGACTACTTGAAGAAAACCAACATTATTATTTTGGACCAATGGTCTTTCTACCAAAACTGACAAACTTTTTCAAAAAGAATTGTTGCAGTGGATTTTTCTTGAGTTTTACCATAAAAAATAACATTAAGAAAACATTTTCGAATTTTTTAAAGTTGACAACGTAAGTATGACTAGTTATTTTTTATCAGTTAGCAGTTTTATTTCCAAAGGATAAATAGTTTAAGCCCTTTTTGATTTGTCGCAAAAGTTGAACAGTCTAAAATAGGATACACTGCTCCGGAAGTGCCCACTACATTGATTGAGAGGGATAATGAACTCCTTTTTAAACTAAAATTAACCATCTTTAGTTTTCGTTAAATTTGAAAAACGCCGCAGAAGATTAAATTCGGAGATCCGCGGATCAACAATTGTTGAATTGTTGTTGTGTAGCAAAGTATTACAGTCCCTTTTGCGGCTTAACATAAAGATGGGGAAGTTTTTGAAAAAAGCAAGACCTGGATATGAAAAAAAAACTAACAGAAAAACTATACAACTCTGATCTGTTTTTGGATTTATGTTTTTGGAATGGATCTGTTTTTGGAATGGATTTATCTGAAAGATTTTGAAACCTATCAAAAAATGGAGTGAACAATTTTGGGTTTTAGTGTGATCACACTATAAAGCTTAAATGAAATGACCAGAAAGATTTAAAAAAATAAAGCTGGCTAATTTTATCTCATTTCTTGAGAAACCAGAACTTGACCAATGAACAATTTATTACGTTTGCTATAAGCAACGCGTTATTAAACGAATATAGATTTTTTCTAGTATGCAACCAGTTTAACAAAACCAGTCGAATCAGTTAGCTCGGCTGTTAGCCACAGCCAAGATAGCTGATAGCAACAGAACAGAATGCCTGTCAGGAGATTTTTTCTGAGCATGTCTGCCTTTTAAATGGCCGTTCCATTCAAAATATTAAGTTGTTTTTGACTGAAATGAATTCGGCGAATGCATTTCTGTTTATTTGCCTGTTAATTCTTTGTATGAAGCACCTAATTTCTCAAATTGGTCTTGTGCTTACGGAAGGGTGGTTTGGGGGGGGGGGATAAACTTAGGATTTTTTTGGCTCAAACGTTTTATAGCTCAAGTTTGATTTTTGTCGGCTCATCAGTCGTCTACCCAAGTTTTGTCTGCTCAGTATCCGCTTAGTGAACTTCGTTCTTAATGCTTATTTAACACTGGCAGTTGTATTTTCCCTTAAATTTACCCGCATTCCAGACAAACGTTAAAAAAAACTGTTGGGTTAGCCACCGTCCCATTTTTTGCTGTAACGCAAGTGGTGCGGAGCTCCGTTTCGCCTATGTAAGAGTGTACAACAGCTTCATAAAACCACTTTATCATCTTGGAATAGTTGTTTAAATCTCCACTTCAAGAAAATCTAGGCCATCTGCCAAAACAACGCGCTGACTTTCTTGATGTGATAATTACCGGAAAAAGGAAAAAACGCAGAATTATGATTGACAAAAAGAAAACGAAGTTTCTTCAACGTGCAAATAGCATACATCAAATCTCTAAACACTGCAATTAAGTAAAGATGTATTTTATCTGAAAATCTGAAGATATTATTAAACGTGCGTTGAATGCTATACATGGATCAGAACAATGTGTAATGGTACTTTTCACCAACTACACGGTTGATCGGACTTTTTTCAAAATTTTTTAAGCTTTGACAATTATTTATTTTTGTAGCTCTTACAATGCCAGATTATGATTGTCCATCGTCTGGTATAAAAAATAATAGAGTTATATCTATGAGGTAGTTAACTGTGTGTTAACTTTTTTGGTGAAAATTTGAATACGCTACTTTTTTGATATTTAGGAAACTATTTTGTTGTCTAAACTGCCCAATTTGTATCTTTGCTTCCATTTCAGCAAAAACCGTGTTCATGAATTCTGAGAGTTTATTCGACTAAAAAA